TATTTACATCCTGTCTATTTACCCCAAAAAAATCCTAAAAAAAATGAAAAAAAAAAAACGATTTACAAATTTACCAGGCTTGAACAGATCGTTCATTTGAAAGCCGAACAGGGATTGGGTCGGAGCTTGCGGCCACTACTTCGCAGTGTTCATGGAGAATTCTCATCAAAGAACCCGCCTTCCTTCTCCCACGGGCTGTGCCTTCTCTGATAATAATGTACAGAGATGAAATTACGGCCTCGCTTTTTGCAAGGATTCGGACTACTTCACATCCGCCATGGACGCACAGAGCTAGCAGTAAACAAACAGAGTACTCTCGTCCTGCACTTGAGCTACATGAACTCATGAACTCCATTGTTAAACTCAAAGCCCCACATCGCATGATCGAGGCGGCTCCTTCCGGCTTCTCTGCTAGAGTTGCAAGAATCTCCATTGAATCTGCAATGAGAATTTCCCTATCGGATGTTTCAAGCAAATTCACCAATAAAGGAACTGCTCCAATGGAGAGAACTTTTCTGTGGTTTTCAGGATGCGTAAGAAGTCCATATATTGCAACCATTGCGTTCTTTTTGCTACGATCTGAATCTTCCTTGAGTAAGTTCATTAAGCCCATAAGCGCTACTGGGGTTTGGCCTATGATTTTTCTGTACTCTTCAATGGAAGCCATGTAAAACAGAGTATAAGCAGATAATTGACGGGCTTCTATTGTGTAACCCATCGTTAAAACATTTATAATTGCCTCCAATCCTCTGTTTTCTGCTATTACTCTTTTGCTTTTTGAATGCTTTGAAAGATTCAAAATAGCTGCAATTGCGTTCTTTTGCATCAAACCATCTGATGATCTCAAAAGCTTTAATAAATTTGGAATCAGACCAACTTCCACCAAGTAAGACCGATAAAAAATGCTTGATTTGGATAGAAGTTTGATCTCATAAGCGGCTCTGTTCTTCTCGTTTGGCGTTCCTGTTTCCAGAAGGCGAGCTAAATATTTCGCCAAAACCCAAACGATCTTCTCGGCTGTTGAGCTACCTGCAACAATTGTTCTCGTTATGTTGCGTTTTTGTTTGCTTGATTCTGGATAAGGGATTGAATTTTTAGAACAGTATCGCCGAATTATCCGACGGAGTGCTAAATTGGGGACTAACTCTCTGTTCTTCAATCTCTCCCCTGTTTTAGGGCAGGTGGAATTTCCAGCTCTCAACCATTTTTGAATCGAAGAGCGATCATATGTCTGCCCTGTTCCTACTGTTACTGGATCAATCATGAAATCCAACGAGATTGGGCATCGAAAATCATCGTGGTTAAAACAATCGATGATTTCGGCTCCATGTCGATGGACAAGCGGAACTGCTTCGTAATCGATAACATCAAATAATATGCATCGACAGTAGTTCATCAAACCAATCAATTTGCTTAAAAAGGAAAACTCTAGCTTCTCGTGAGCCGACCATTCGATTTCAATTTCCGACTCCAAGAATTTCACCTCCTTATTGCATAAACTCCATGTTTTAATCCCAATATAATCAAGAAATCGTTTGATTTGAGTATTATCCGGAGCAACACGGCAATCAAATACAGCCAGAATTAATCTTACCTCGTTGAGAATCTCTTCATCTTCGCGATCGATTTCAAATTTCATCTTTCGTGTTTGTTTCGTCGCTAATTCCACAAACTCGACGACTTCCATAGGCAAATCGATCGAATCCAAAGGCAAAATCTCCAGAGCCAAAGCGACGGATCGGATCAAAACCTGGAAACGATTCGCGACGAACTCCGATTTCATAAGCATGAACAAACGAGCACCTTCTAGGGCACAATCCTCCAAAAGAAACAGAAGCTTCTGGAAGATAAAATGGAGCTCCAATAAGATTAAAACAACAGAATCCGACAGATCTTCCGCTTTTCGACCTTGAATTTCTTCAAAGAACATCAGAAGGATTTCGATTTGGCGAATCGCTTTAATGGCGTTTCGCTTGTTGCTACCGAAGAATTCCGATCTGTAGCCGCAAATGCTTCGACTGATATTGATCAAAGACGTCAACAACGTCGCCGGAGATGTGCATTCGCATGGTTGAATAGCCGGTAACGTCAAAATCCGGCGATTGAAGTCGTTTGATTTTCGAATCATTAAAGAGAAATAGAGAGAATCGAAAAAGTTCGTATATGGATTTTGGTGATTTGTTTTTATCTCTTACCAAATTACAATATATATTGACGGCAAGCTTTACAACATAGACACGTGTCGATCATTGATTGATCCTAGGCCAGTTTTGACCTGAGATTCGACACGTGTACGTAGGAGATAGGATAGGGAAGCTTCGTCGAAATCTATCTGAACGTGAATCAATCACATGATGACACGTATCCTGAGTTAACGGCATGGGATTCGTGACAGGTGAGATTCGCCGACATTCAATTAAGGTGGAGTTTTTATATTTTGGTAACATGGAAATTATTATTGAGGCAATAATTGTTTTAAAAATTGTCCAAAATTATTTTACGTCTTAATTTCCTGAAATTTCCTTGAACAATCCCTTTGTTGATTATTCAGGAATTATAAATTTTAATTTTAAATATTATTACTTTATTAGAAATAAAATTAGACAAGACAAAAAACAAAAAAAAGTAAATACTCATAATTTTAATTCCCTCTGACCTTGGAATTTTTTTTTTTTTTTTTTTTTTTTTTTTTTTTTTTTTTTTTTTTTTTTTTTTTTTTGTCAAATAATTTTAATAATTTTTTTAAGTATATAAAGAGGTATTTGATGACATCAGAAAATGTGCATATCAATACTTATATTTCATATAATTGACTTGATACACGTTTGATACAGAAAAAAAAAAAAAAAAAAAAAAAAGAGCTTTGCTCGTTTCTCACAAATAGCAAAGAAATGGCGTGGTGGAACAGACTATGGATATGATGCCCCGTGACTTGGTCCAGACGGAGGAATGTGCATGTTTTTCGGTAACATTCCATAGTGGATGGGATGGTCTGGGTTTGGTGCCCCATGACTTGGTCCAGACGGAGGAATGGGAATGTTTTTCGGTAACATTCCATAGTGGATGGGATGGTCTGGGTTTGGTGCTCCGTGACTTGGTCCAGATGGAGGAATGTGCATGTTTTTCGGTAACATTCCATAGTGGATGGGATGGTCTGGGTTTGGTGCCCCGTGACTTGGTCCAGACGGAGGAATGTGAATGTTTTTCGGTAACATTCTGTAGTGGATGGGATGGTCTGGGTTTGGTGCCCCGTGACTTGGTCCAGACGGAGGAATGTGCATGTTTTTCGGTAACATTCCATAGTTGATGGGATGGTCTGGGTTTGGTGCCCCATGACTTGGTCCAGACGGAGGAATGTGCTTGGTTTTCGATAACATCCTATCGTACAATAGAGGTAGAGGAGGTGGATAGGTTATAGTTATCTGATTCATAACAGAAGCAGGAATGTGAGGAGCTTTTGGAACTATTCTAAAGTCTACCATAGACACCTTCTTGCTTTGGCTCGATTCAGATGAAGAAACATGCACGGTTTTTCGTAGAAATCCCAAGTCTACCCTTATATCATCAAAAGATTCTTCGGGTTTATGAGTCGAAACAACATTTCTAGCATTTGTTTGGGAAACGAGCAAATGAAACCCAAAGAGGACTAAACTATAGGCTCCCCAAGAAATGATAGAGCTTCTTGGGGCCATTATTGCTATGGGTTTGCTGATGTTCTTTCATTAGCTCTCCCTTTATATAGCCTTAATGGCATCTAATTTTAGTCAAATCCAGCGCTAATTTATTTTTCAAAACACTAAAAACACGGAAATTCGTTAGAAATTAGTGGGTGAGATTTTATTAATTATTTGATATTTTAAAAATTTTCACAATAAAGTTCAATTTTTTAATATGAAAAAATAACAATCTAAAATTATAGTGAATGTTAAATTTAAGCGGCCTACAATAATAAATAAATATTTGTAAAATATTAAATGGGCTTGGCCCATTCAGTGCAATGTTGGGCCAGACCACTTTTATGTACGAATATGTTCTTTTCCCTAATAAGTTGTGAACCAATATTTTTAATGATTAAATGATTAAAAAAAATCTGAAAAATAGTATTTTTTTAATTATAAATCATTTTTTTATTCTAAATTCATGATCATTTTCAATGATGTTTATTATATGATATTCTCCGATACCAATGGAGATATATTGTTTGATTATAAACCATTTGTCCGATACCAATGGAGATAGTATTCTTTTTATTCTAAACCATTCTTTGATTATAAACTCATGATCATTTATCCTCTCGTCATAGAATAGATGAAATAAAAATAAATGGATTTTTGTTCAAGAATGAAGTCTTATTGGTATCACATCCCAGATATCTTCAGAACCATATCACATCCCGGATATGATGAAATATCGCCATGCTATTAAGTATTTTGATTTAAGTTCTTTTCTTTCTAAGAGGTGGAATAGAATAACCCGGTTGAAGTGTAATGATCATACGTCGTAATGCATTGTATGTCCCATAATAGGTCCCATTCTTCTACCCTTTCTTGGGAGTCCATGACTATTCATAGCTATTACCTTGACACCAAAGAAGAGTTCTACCCTTTCTTGGGAGTCCATGACTATTCATAGCTATTACCTTGACACCAAAGAAGAGTTCGACCCAATGCTTTATTTCGGGTGAAGTTGAAGCAAGACTAAGAAGAAGTGGTCAACTTCATTTATGAACGATCAACTATTTCTTAGTAGCAATACCTTTCTCTTTTTTGATTCTTCCTCAACTCACCTCCACGGGCGAATAGAGTCTAATACACTCTTTCTTGGCTAGTGTAGCAGACTCCATGAGAACTCACCTCCACGGGCGAATAGAGTCTAATACACTCTTTCTTGGCTAGTGTAGCAGACTCCATGAGAGGTCACCTCCACGGGCGAATAGAGTCTAATACACTCTTTCTTGGCTAGTGTAGCAGACTCCATGAGAGGTCACCTCCACGGGCGAATAGAGTCTAATACACTCTTTCTTGGCTAGTGTAGCAGACTCCATGAGAGGTCATTCGGAAGGGCTCCGTATGTCTAATACACTCTTTCTTGGCTAGTGTAGCAGACTCCATGAGAGGTCATTCGGAAGGGCTCCGTATAGTTCGATTTTGGGGCGTAACATTGTGGTTGGTTGTTCCCTTTCCCTCGACTGACCGAGATTCGACATTAGAAGTATATTGATTTTTCTGTCTGTAAATACTGCATATTTGATTTCTTCCCTATGAGTTCGAATCTCAATACAAATGCTAGTTCTTACTGTTCATATGTTATGATATGAATTGAGACAGTATTTTGTAATTATGTACTTTATCTTGAATATATTAATTATTTTTTTTATTTTCCAAATTAAAATGGAATTACTCAAATCAAAATTTTTACCCTACTTAATTTTTAATTTTTTTAATTTTTTTTACGAACAAGAGGTGAAAGTACGAATAAAAAAAAATTGGAATGAAAAGCATCCCTTGTCTAATGGATAGGTCGGTCTTCCAAACCTGATTTGAGTAATTGTAAATTGTAATTATATTTTTAGATTTTTATAGAAATAATAATTTGATTAGAAATTATAAATATTCAAATTGTCTATCGGTATGATATTTCATGTCATGTCTACTAGTTGGGGAGGAGAACAAAACACCCAAAAAGTGTAGAAACCTTACTAAGTCAAAGGGAAAGTCCGAAAGGGTAAGCTCAAAGAGAACACTATCCGATAGCGATTGAACTTTCACGTTGTTTCACTGATTTTCATATAAAAGTATGTTGTTGATTTATTGCTGGTTAGAATACGTTAAATATTATGGTGCACATTTATCAAAAAAATGAATTGAACGAACTTGTAAAACTTAATAGGAAGCTTATTATCAAGATGAGCATCAAAATGATGTACGATGACACCGGTTGAATATGAATGAATACTAAAAAAAGTACCAAATATGAACTATGATATATTGTTGATGTATTTCTCCATCCATCACTTTTTTTAAACTTTTAATTAAGAATTAATAAAAATTAATAGATCAAAATTGTCTATTATAAAAGTACAAAAAAAATAAAATTAGACGAAATTCTGAAATTTTGGATCACTAGAGAAAATGTGCCTATCAATAACTTCTTATTTCATATAAATGATTTTTAGAATACACCAAAAAAAAAAAAATGAGCTTTGCTCGTTTCCCACGAATAGCAAAGAAATGAGACTATGGGTTTGACGCCCCCTGACTCGGTCTATATGTAGGAATGTATATGTTTTTTGGCATCATTCCAGAGTTGACAGGATGGTTCGGGATTGATACCCTATGATTAGGTCCAGACAGAGGAATGTGCACATTTCTCAATAACATTCCAGAGCTGACAGGATAGTTTGGGTGCGATATCCTCCTACCTTGTCCAGATGGAGGAAGGTGCATGTTTTTCGCTATCGATCCATATTTGACACGAAAATGTTGGTGGGACGTCTTGAGCCTGGATCTAGATGGAATGATATATAAGCGTTTGGATAATATTCCAGATCTCACGTCGGCTAGAGTAGGTGGATAGGAGAAGGTCCTTTGATTGAGCCTAGAAAAATGAACGTATCCCGATTTAGGAGCATGTACGGTTTTGTGCAGAAATCCCAAGTTTACCCTCACGGTTTGTTTATGGGGGGTGGAAACAACATTTCTAGCAGCGTTGGCTTGGGAAATGAGCAAATGAAACCCAACGAGGATGAGAGTATAGGCTCCCCAAGGCATCTTATTAGAGCTTCTTGGGGCCATTATTGCTGTGGGTTGTCTCTTCTTCTTTCCTTAGCTCTCCTTTTATAACCACTCTTCGCATCTAATTTTAGTCGTATCCACCCCTAATCTGTTTTGGAAAACACTAAAATCATGTAAATTTGATCAGAAATTTGTGGGTGAGATCTAAGAGGGCTCGGGTTTTTTTTAAACCAACCCAAAAGTTCATGTTCTTGGATTGGTAATCTAACCCAATCTCAAAAAAATTTGTAAACCGAACCGAGCCTATTCGAGTTTAGGAAAAATAACCCAACCCAACCCTTATAATTTGGGTTGGGTTAGTCCAGGTTGTCAGGGTGGATGTACACCCCTAATATCTAGTTGTGCATTATCATGCATGAACCTATGAGATCGATATTAAGGTCATCTCTTGAGCGTCTACTAGGAGACCTAAAGAACATTAAAGAAAATCTAGGATGTAGCCTCAGAAGATCATGTATTTAAGAACGAACTCGAAACGAGAATGAGACACCAAACAAACAATTAATATCTTTAGTAATGAATTATGAACTACCTTATAAGCTGCTTACTAAGTATATTTTATATACTCATCCTTCCTACTTTAAAATTTTTCAAATGAGACATGATGGAGATGTTGAGGCGGAAGTGCATACGAACTAGGAGCTATGAAGTTTTGGGCTAGATCGTTGTATTGTACCTCTTTAATATATTTCTCTTGCGAGCACTTGATTTTTGTATTCTAAGATTTTATGAATGTAATAAGTAATTGTTAGTGACTGAGGCTCTCAAAAAGTAGGTCGTTACATTCCCTCGCTCTATTGCTCCATCCATCACTATCGTTTTATACTCTATCTGTTGATCGTTTGCAAGGTATTTAGGTGACTCGACTCATAATTGCAAACTTGTTCGAAAGGATCATAAAATAAAATAAAATGTGCACAGATGTCAAAGAAGCCCTACCTAATCTGCTTACCTAAGAATGCTCCATTAATTCAAAGCTGTAACAACTTCATCGTTTATTTTGGTTATTAACTCTACTAAATAATAAACTCACCTGCCAAACATTTTAACCACTCATTTTATTGCACAATCTTGACTTAGATCTAAATTTAATGTTATCTAAATCAACGGTAATGCAGGTATGAGGACATTCGTGATGAAGGGTGTGGTGACCAATTATCCGATGCACAATCTTGGATAGCAGTTTAGGGTTTAGAGTTTAGGGTTTAGGGTTTAGGGACACTCGTGGACAATCGATCCAGTTTAGGGACAATCATGGACAATCAGTCCCGTTTAGGGTTTAGGGTTTAGGGACAATCGTGGAAAATTGATCAGTTTAGGGTTTAGGGTTTAGAGTTTAGGGACAATCGTGGACAATCAGGGTGACCGATTATCCGATGCACATTCTTTATAACGGCGTGAAAACCTCTACTAGCATATGCATTTTAGGAAAACCTTAAAAAAAATCCAAAGAAAACAATATCTGCTAGCAATGGACTTGGGCTATTACAAATGGTATCAATACCAGATACCAGGCGATGTGCCAGCGAGAAGGCCGAGCCTTGAAGGGGGTGGATACGAGATAGTGTGCCAGCAAGGACGCTGGACTCAGAAGGATGGTGGATTGGAGGGTCCTACATAAATTGAAAAAGGGAAAGAGAACGAGTGCTAGCGAGGACGCTGAGCCCCGAAGCGGAGTGGATGGTAAGATCTGATATCAGTGGGAGAGAAGAATGAAACACTCTTTTAAGAGTGAAATTTTTTTCCTAGTAAGATGCATTTTTAAACTTCGAAAGAAAGCTCGAAAGGAATAGGGTCCTAACTAAATGAGTTAGATGGCTCATGAACTGTTCCTTCTGTCAAGAAAGCAAATCAAAATAGTTTAGTTAATGTCCAAAGTTGTTCAAATTACAGTTTTGATCCTTGTTTCATACAATATCATGAAACTAAGGAAGATCCTTCTGTATAAAGCTGAATTGTTGGCATCCCTTTGGTCATCAAAGATGGAATTGCCCCTCTTAAGCTTAAGCTTCTTCCTTTTGTGCATGTTTTTTGCAGCCCCTTCTTGTGGTACATACTACACGCCTCCAAGCGTCCCACGTTTAACAGATCTCGTTCCCAATGTCTCAATCGATCAATACTTTGCTAAGATTTTTGGGGGCGCAAATATCCAGCTGATGAGTAATGGGTCCTCTCTCAATCTCACTCTGAACAAACTTTCTGGTAAATCATCATTGGATCTTAGCTTTACCTTTCAGCCCGACTCTGTTTTGATTCATAACTTCTTCTCTTTTCATTTCTGGAGGTGCTGGTTTGGTCTCGAGGAACAAATATCATTATGGGTTCTTCAGTGCTTCAATTAAGCTTCCATCAGGCTTCACTTCAGGGGTTGTAGTGGCTTTTTATGTAAGTTTTCCCCCCCTTCTTATTATCCTCTGTTTGGCTTACCAGTTTGGTCCACAACCAACGGGATGATGAGGGCTATGTTCAGCTGTCGAATGCAGATGTTTATACCCATTCTCATGACGAGATTGACATAGAGCTGCTGGGACATGACAAGAGAAAAGATTGGGTTATTCAGACAAATATGTATGCCAATGGAAGCGTCAAGACAGGGAGAGAAGAGAAATTCTATCTCTGGTTTGATCCCAGCGTGAAATACCACGATTACACCATCATTTGGAACAAATATCATACTGTGTAAGTGCATGAAAGGCAGGATCATTTTTGTTGGTCGTTGTACTTCTCTGTTCTTCTAAAAAGCGCATCGAAATTCAAGCAGGTTTTTGGTGGATAATGTTCCAATCAGAGAGCTGAGAAATTCTGAAGCTTTCTATCCATCAAAACCCATGTCAGTTTTCGTCACAATATGGGATGGTTCAGAATGGGCAACTCATGGAGGAAAGTACCCAGTAGACTATAAGTATGCACCATATGTGGCTTCTTTTGAAGAAATGGAGATCAATGGAAGTATATCACCACCAATAGCCACTGTTCCTTCAAGCTCCAAAACCAATGTCTCGAGCCCGGATACCGTGGAGGGTCCAGAATTTATAAAGCTATCACAGCAGCAAATAGATGCCATGGATTGGGCAAGGAGGAAGCTCATGTTCTACTCCTATTGTAAAGATACATCCAGATACAAAGTTTTGCCTCCAGAATGCAAATAGATGTATTTTTACTAAGTTTTTTGAGATCCGCCGTCATAGATGTATTTTTACTAAGTTTTTGTGAGATCCGACGTCATAGATGTATTTTTACTAAATTTTTGTGAGATCCGACGTCAAGAGAATAAAGTCTTCTTTATTTTATAAGAGTGTGGAAACCTTTTCCTAACCGTTTTAAAAACCTTGAGAGGAAGTAGGAAAAAATAATATTTGTCATCAGTAGACTTAAACTATTACAATTTTAATGGTTGCTAAGAT